ATAGCTCGCATATATCAATTGAAGCAAGAAATATCCCAAGTTAAATAAGAAAAGTCAGTAACTGAGTTAGTTGCCAGTCTCAAACCATTGTGGGATGAGTTGGCCACGTATACTCCTTCCATTACTGACTTGTCCATCATCCAAAAACGTGTTGAACAAGACCAAGTTTTTCAGTTTCTTGCTGCCTTAAAACTTGAATATGACAGCTTAAGAAGTAAAATATTAATGTTAGCTGAACTCCCTAGTTTCGCAAGTGTTTATTCTACTGTCTTAAGAGAGGAATCTTGAATCTTGAATCCTGAAAAAAATAATACTAAGGTGATTGAGAAGTCTGCCTTTGTTGTAAATAATGAGAATTTCGAAAACAAGAAGTCTACTAATAACGAAACAAGAAGAGGAGGTGTTTTTCGTGGACATGGTAGAGGGCGTCGAAATGGAGGAAGGATCACCTTTAAATGTGATCATTGCAAAGCCCTTAGTCATACAAAAGACCGATGTTGGCTTGTACATCCTCACTTGAGACCTTCAAAGGATCTAGGAGGTGAAAGAATTGGCTTCCTAGAATCCACAACTGATTCATAAATTACTCTGTAAAAATTACTCAATGTTTCCAATAGTATGGTAAGAGTGACAATATCTCCACACATGGCTCTCCCCAAGAAACAAGCAATTCCTCACCTTACTTTTTTCATTCTCATTCACATATTCATTCTTGAGTTATTGATTCAGGGGCTACTGATCATATGACTGGTAATCTTTAGTACTTAACCAATTATGAGAAATCTTCTAGTAAGCCTCCCGTATCAATAGCCAATGGTTCAATTATTCCGGTTCACGGTTTCGAAAATCTAAAATTGTCTCTAACTCTCATGATTTTGAAGTATTGTTTCTACCATCATTTCCTTCAAATTTGTTATCCGTGAGCAAGATAACCAAAGATCTGAATTGCAATGTTCTTTTCTCTCCTTACAATGTTGTCTTTCAGGATCGGGCCACGGGGAGAAAGATTGGTGAAGGGAGAATTTCGAATGGATTATATATCCTTGATCAAGAAAATAAAGCTTTGATTGAATTATTTCAGTAGCAAGTTGTGGCATGCTAGAGTTGGTCATCCTTCTGATCATACTTTACAGATTTTGATTTCTAATCTTAGTATTGATTTTCATAGGTGTGATCCTTGTCAATTTTCTAAATAGACAAGACTTCTTTTTCAGATGTCTATGCATGATTGTGATGGGCCTTTTTAGTTAGTTCACTCAGATGTTAGGGGACCTGCCCCTATTGTTTCTTATTCTAAGAATATATATTTTATTTTATTTATTGATGATTGGTCACGTGCAACTTGGATATATCTTTTAAAATGAAAAGATGAAGTCGTTTAGACCTTTAAGGAATTTAATACTCTTGTGTCCAATCAATATAATGCCAAGATTAAAAAAATTTCGTTCTGATAATGGCACTGAGTATGTTAATAAAAATTTTTCTAAGTACCTTACTAGTCTTGACATCATACATCAGGCCTCGTGTGTCGAGACCCCTCAGCAGAATGGGGTTGCTGAAAGGAAAAATAGGCACATTATTGAGGTTGCTAGGTCATTAATGTTTGAGAAAAATGTTCCAAAGAGATTTTAGTTTGACGCTGTCTTGACTGCCTGTTACCTTATTAATAGACTTCCTAGTAAGGTTCTCCATGATAAATCCCCTTCTAAATAAAAGGAAGATTAACATCTCTCACCTGCGTGTTTTTGGGTGTGTTTGTTTTTCTCATATTCTTGATCATAAGTGTGACAAACTTGATTCCCGGACTACTAAGTGTATTTTTGTTGGATATTCCTCCATAAAACATGGGTACAAATGTTATAGCCCAATACAACAAAAATTGTTTATTTCCATAAATGTTCAATTTTTTGAGGATGAACCCTATTTTCAACCCAACTCTGAATTATCTGAAAATAGGGCTCAGGGGAGTATCCTCTTCCAGTTTCTGTTACTCAAAACAATAGTTCTTATGAAAGAAATATAGAAAATCAAGAAAATTGGGAGAATCATAATATTGGCAATGGCAATGAGAAAGAAGTTGGTAACGACAGTGACACTCCAAGAGATAATAACCTCGTGGCGCATCCTCCTGTTCGTCCTCTTCGCAAGTCATCCCGTGTTTCTCGCCATCCTTCAAGATTGCAAGACTTTTTTACTTATCATGCTGCTTCTTATCCTATTCATACTCAAATTTGCTACAAAAACATTTCTTCAAAGAACTCTACTTTCTTGAGTTCTATTTCAAATAATGTTGAACCCAGTAATTTTAATGATGCCTACTCTCAACCTGTCTGAACCAAAGCCATGGAAGATGAACTATTGGCCCTTGATAAAAACCATACTTGGGATATAGTTCGTTTACCTAAAGGATAAAAGGCTGTTGGTTGTAAATGGGTTTTCAAAATTAAATACAATAGTGATGGTACCATTGAGAGACATAAGGCAAGACTTGTTGCCAAATGTTTTACCCAAACATATGGTGTGAATTATAAGGAAACCTTTCCCCATGTTGTTAGGATGGGCACTATTTGGGTTCTTCTCTCCATTGCTGTAAATTGTGGATGACATTTGTGGCAAATGGATGTTAAAAATGCATTCTTTCATGGAGACCTTGAGGAAAAAGTGTACATGAACATTCCTCCAAGTTATCTTAAAGAAGGAAGACTTACTTGTAGACTTAAAAAGGCTTTATATGGACTCAAACAATCTCCGAGAGCGCGGTATGCAAGTTGAGTACTACCCTATTAAGTATAGGGTTTAAAAAGGGCTATGCCGACTCTTCCTTATTCAGTAAATGGCCTATTTCTTTGAAAGTCCAAGCATTCATTTGGGTAGCTATACAAGAGAAATGTCTCACAATTGATAATCTTCGCAAGAGGGGTAGATCTTGCCTAATATTTACTTGATGTGTAAACAAGAGGAAGAGACTGGTTGTCACTTCTTACACTGCCCTTTTGCTTCAAATATTTGGAATTGGGCCTTTTGATATCTGGTTTTTTCTCTTATGCTTCTTAAAAATTTAATTAACAATGCTAACCATCTGAATTTTACTTGTTTACTTGCTAAAGGAATTTTTATTTCGAAAATATACAACAATGCAATTCTTTGGCAGATATAGCTACAGCGCAATAGGAGAGCCTTTGAAGGGTTTTCCTTGGATTTGGAATGCACTAAGGCTAGAATTATACAAACCCTTTGGGATTGGTTTTCTATCACCAATGAAGGTAGAGGAGTCTCTCGGCTAGTCATCGTTGTTAATTTGAATATTTTAGCTTTCTCCTCTTCCTCCAGGTGTCACCTTCACTATACTTGGAAGCCTCCTCCGAAAGGCTCTCTCAAACTCAATTTTGATGGAGCTCCTTTGGGAACTCAAGTCTAGTTGGAATTGGAGGTATTTTAAGAGATCATGAATGGTCCGGTATATTCTCTTATGCAAGGCTGTGTGACTCTACTACGACAAACCAGGCTGAAATTTGCTCGTTTTTTCAAGGATTGGAAATTATTGTTAGTAAAGGAATTGTGGGCCAATGTTATAAATGGTGTAAGTAGGAAAAAAGAATCTTTTGGTCTCTTCATGTCTTTTGGTTGAAAATCTATGATATATGTTCTACCTTTGGGCTTCGGATTTCCTTCTCTTATATCTACCGAGAGGCCAATGATGTAGCTGATCGTTTAACCAAACATGAAATTTCCTTATCCTCTTTGTGTGTATCTAATATTTAATTACAAATTTATAATTTGATGCCTTTTCAACATTCTATCAATAAAAGTTTTTAACCTAGTAAAAAAGAAAGTTAATTTAATGCTCCATTTTTTTCACCAACAAATATACTGTCATTTTTCAAAACTCTTTACGTTCTTTTCTACTAAATCTTAGTACCAAACCGATATGATCCAATCCAGATCGACGATCTGTGACGGTCCAGCCTATGGTTGGTTCACCACTAAACCTATTTTTAGAAGACCCCTTCAAGTGGACACTTGCATAAGGCCACACGAACCATGATTTTCCCCTGGTTGGAAGCTGAACGGCATTCCATATTAGAGGTGGCAATTGGGTCTGGTCAGTGGCAGGCTGACTCGAACCAGGTCCAGTTTTCGGTCTACGTTTTGAACCTAGGGGGTCGGGTTCGTGTTCGGCTTGGACCCTATCAAGTCATAACAGGTCAGGGTTGGGGTATACTCGACCTAACTCGTCATAAAATATATTACATTATAGAATATAAAAATTAGAGCAATGATCCAATGCAATGGTTGTATCATAATATAATGTAACGACACTTCCGAAAACTATATTTGTGGTTGTTTTCTATTTGTGGTATTTGTATGATCCCAAATTTTGCACACACACTATCTTCATCTCAATAATCTATCCCCCCCAAAAAAGGTTCAATTTGGACCCTAGATATGATCAAAATGATTCCCCTCCAAAAATGAATCTAGACCATTCATTTTGTGAATTTCAAGATCTTAGCCTTTATAAACTCAAAATCATTTTTTTTCTCTTTTAACATTGTTCATCTAATGATAATAAAGCCATACAAAAAAATTGAAAATGAAAAAAAATCATTCTTATGTCTAGATCTAAGCATCTCACCAAAATGAACGGCCTATGTTAATTGGGTTAAAAAAATACTTTCTAGATTGTGTTTTCAATTTTTTCTGTCTATGTGATTGTTCATTAGAATGAAAAGAGTGTATATTTCAAAATTTGGATCAAACAAATAGCCATAAGATGGTTTTTTAAGGTTGTTGTATTATATTAGTAATTGAACGTTTTCATGAAATTATTGCCCTAAAAATTAAATTTTGATTGTTTTAATTTTTTGACCCGAGTTGGGGTCCAAACTTGGCCCTGACGGGTTGGTCAGGGTCGAGGTCGTTCTGCAACCTAGTCGGGTCCCGACCCGTTGCCGCCCTTTAATCCATATGCCTCGCATTTTCGAAGTCTGAGATTTCTGGACGTCTCTTTTCGAATGGACTGGCATAGCTCCATTCTTTCCTCGTTACTGTTGCACAAATGCAGCACAATTTGCGATAATGGCGAATACATGTCTTGTGAAGAATGGGGTTCCTCAGCCCATTGTTCACTCCGTCTCCACCTTCTTGGAAACCCATCCAGGTTCTCTCTCTATAACACGTTGTTTGTCTCGATCTGGAGCTCGTCCCGTGCATATTCATTGACATGGATTTTCTTCTTTGGGTTATGAATACGTATGCAGGTGCTTATACCACTTCTCGGACTCATAAAAATGCTTCTTTCGTGGTTTTCTGGGAACGCCACTTACAAAGGCTTGAGCAATCGGTTCGAATATTAGCAGAATCCATGCCCCATTTGTTCCCTGAAAACCCTAATTTTGATTCGTCATGGGATTCGGTGATTAAGCCTTTGATTCAGGTCTCCATGAGAAATGGATTGGTGCTGGCTTTTGAAGAGAGAGAAAACAAAGGGGAAGAGGAGGAGTTTGCATTGACTGCCCTTGTTGCTGGTGGTTTGGAAGAAGACGGAGAAAAATCCAAGTGCTTTGATGTGTTCGTACACATTGGAGTTTATGCTCCTCTTGTTTTTGGTGTGAATTCTGCTCGCTTAGCTCTTGTGGGAGGTGGAAGAGAGATGGCCCTAAGCAAGCACTCGCAGTGGGTCAGGTATGTTTTTTGGTAATATTGTTTAGTTTTTTGGGCGGTATATTGCCAAGTTTAAATTCATGTGTTCTTTCGGAATTTCACCGTAACGGCTCTGATTATTGATTTTACACGTGGTGTACTTAATTTTCGGTTAAACCAGTTTGTGGGTCTTGCTAGACTTGGAATTGTATCTTGCCCAGTCTAAATTGATGGGTTGGTTTGATTTTTTTAATGAAATTGGGCCAAAGGTTTGGTTTTACCTAGTTCAACGATTTTGCAGGTGTTCTACTTAAATCAGCTGTTAAACCTTTTATTGCTTTTTGCTTAGACTTTGGAATGGTATATTGCCAAGTTTATATTCATGTGTTGGTTTGAATTTTAGTTGAGATCGAGCCAGTGGTTTGGATTTGCCTAGTGGTCACTGACTTCGTAGATGGTGTGCATATCTTGGCGGTTGAACCAGTTCTAATGGATAAAATTCGAGGAAAATTTGTTATATTTCACTCTAGTTTGGAAGAGAGTTCATGGAATGCCCAAAGTCTGGGTTCTTGCTTTTGTTTTTTCCAAGTAATAATTGAGGGACTTTCAGTGAATTTGGAGATGTTTTAGAGGTGGAAATTAGTGTTTGTTTTTTTGCGAACATAAGAAAGTTGAGTTTGGATGATTGTATGGAATGCCCTCCAGAAAAATATCATTATGCTTCAATACTACTAGACTTCCTAGACGAGAGCTGTTTTTAACTCCAGCATAGACATTTTCACTTATTAATGAAGTAATAGTAATCCAACATTATCCAAATTTCTCTAATATGATTGACCCTGGATTTGCCAAAAAAAAAAGAAAAAGAAAAAAAAAGAAGAGAAATTATTTTGATGGATAACAATGGTGAATTTGTTAAGAACAATCCACAAAATATTTTCAAGATCATGGCATTCTTCTCCAACTTTCATGTTCATCTACTTCAATCAAATACAGTTGTTGAACGAGAGACATATTTATTAAAATTTGCTAGAACCATGACGTTGCTTCAAAATGTTCCCATGAGATTCTGGAATGAGGCTGCTCATAATACTACATGCTATCTCATAAAATGGATGATTTTTCCAATTCTTGAGAAACAAATTCACACTGAAAGGCTAACAACATGATATGACCACCTCAAAATATTTATGTTCATTTTCATCCTTAGGATAGATTTAGGTAGCTCTCCCAGGTAGTCAAGTTTGATTTCCGGGTCTATCATGCTAATAAAACGGGTGCAAGTATAACGATCATCCCAGGCCTGTGACCACTATGGAGCATTTTACCTTGTGGAGAAGATTACAAATATCCTAATACTTAGAACCGGTGTTTTAAAATGCGGAATGCGGCTCGATATGTTGGGGGGGGGGATGCAGCTTGATGGGGTCAAGATGCAGGTGCATCACCCTGATGCTGTCAATAAATATAAAAAATTCTAAAAAATCTAAAAAAATAGGTTAATGCATAGGAAAAAATATAGAGGTGATTTGTGTGATACTAGGTATTTAATTTATTCATGAACTCCAAAAGTAACAGCTATCGGAGATTTTGTATCCACTATCCCCTGATCACATAACACATTAGATCACATAACACATTAGAAAGTAGAAACTAGAAACTTGATACTAACTTCATAAAACATTCAACAACCATAATCACAAATTTGCAACTACAAACTTTAAAGTTACAAAATACAAACTAAATGTCTATGAAGATTAAACTTTGATTTTTTCTTGGCCCTTGAAACCCTTGATTTGTAGTTAAAACTTTGCTAAAACTTCCTCAAATCAACACCCAAAATAAACAAATAAACAAATCAACAACCAAAGATCATCCAAGACAAAAATTCAAAAATTTCGAAAAATAAAATTTCTGCCCCCTTTTTTTTTTTTTTATCGATTTGATCTCCTAAAGGCCACGGATGTGGCTGATTGTGGTTGTTTGGGGGTTTAATACCCCCCGAAGCCCTTATCCCCCTTTTCGGGGCTTAAAAAGATAAAAAATACCCCTTTGAATAGGGGTAATTTTTCATTTCACATGCAGGTCGCATATGCACCCTATGCGGGCTATGGGCTATGCGGCTGCATATGCGGTGGGATGCGGCGCAGATGCGAACGCATCCCACCAAAGTGCATCTTCGGTGTCAGACGATGTGGTTGCCAGTGCATTTCTCATGATGAGGTTGCATATATGGCGATGCAGCCTAATTTTAAAACACTGCTTAGAACAAATCTTCTTCTGCCCTAGTGGGGAAGTCTAAAAGAAATAGGTCAACTAGATTTGGACAAAGCTTGTCCTAACCAATATGATGGCTGTGAAGCTGATCAATGGAACAAAGTAATGTATCATGATATCATTATTTTGGTTGTCTCTGACTAAAATGCTGGCTATGAGGAGGATCAATGGGACATAATGATGAGGACTAGACATATTCCCAAACTAGCATGAACATTGATATTTCACCATCAAAGAGTCACTCCTGGATCATGAGCTATTGTAGTTTAAAAATTCTAGGTAATTCCTAAATCCTATCAAGTCTATTAACCATCTCATAACACTCACCTAACTGACCAATTTGTGTGTTCTATTCTTTTTCTGGGAAACATCATGCCTAAGGATTCGTATTCTTCACCATAGAACCCAATACCTTTGCAGAAGCATTAGGTTAGCTTTGCTGGTAACAATGCAAGAGAACACTATTCAGCTTGAAATGGTAATTTGCATGGGATTTACTGATCCGTCCCTGATGAAATCCAATGTATGTCCTTTGTTTTTCTTTTTTCAATGCATTTATCTCCTCTTCCATGGATTCCCTCCACTTACGATGTATTTACAGAGTCCAAAATGTCCTAGGTTCAGAGTCGGTGTTCAAGGAAGCAAGAAAAGAATGAAATGAAGATGAGTGAGCAGTATATGTCACAAAATGTTGAATGGGATAAGGATTTCACTTTCCATTATGAATAATGATAAGAGGAAAGATGAGGAATTACCTTCAGGGATTGAGGACGAGTTTTGAGGAGCTTCTTAGTGAGGCAAATCAAGCAATGGATCTTCATTTGCTTGCCCTTGCTCCCTGTGCCTTTGTACGCAGGTGAGTATTGGTGGTCCTTCAAGGACATCTTCAAGTGAAGGTCCTGGTTCATATACAGTGAATTTTGGAGTAGGTTGGACAGCAGGTGGTGATTCGAGTTCAGATACAAAGTCATTTGCAATGGGTTGGACTGAAGAGGTGGTAATAGCTCTCCCTCGAAGGGTTCCCAAGTTCCAAAAATGTAACATAGCGTGAAACATAATGCCTTCTTTCTTTGGACCATAGCAGCTATAGCTCATTTTAGTAGGAGAGTACTCTGGAAAAGTGTATTTAGCATACGTGACATCTAGCTTGTCTTTGACATTTTCCAATAGATGACAAAGCAAACACAACCAAAGACTCTTACATTTGACATGCTCCATTAATGTTTCACGAGATCAAGCCTTATTAAGAACCAGAGTAGGAAAACATTTTATGATATATGCTGACAGCATGACATCAGTAATATATGGCACATGCATATTCATTAACAAGGAGCTAGTGCTTTGAAACGATGGTGATTCTTCATTTCTGCAATGCCATTTTGTTGTGGTGTTGCAGGATAATGTTTGCCAAAAAATGAAATTCTTGAAGGTATCCAGGAATCTCTTTGTCATCTATTGCCTGGCCCAATGTTTTAAAAAATAGATCCGTGACCCGGATCGTCCATCCGGAAAATAAGTCCAGATTGGTGAATTGGTGGTCCGGATTGGTGAATCGGCCGGATCGGCTGGATTTGGCCTTAGAAAAAGATTAAAAATATTAAAATTTATTAAAAATGTAAGTTTTTTAGGTTTCCAAGGAAAAAATGTTATATCTTGTGTTGTTTTTCATTATTTTAACAAATATGTAAATCTGTGAATTGGTGGAGATAGAGAGAAAGAGAGAGAGAGAGAGAGAGAGAGAGAGAGAGAGAGAGAGAGAGAGAGAGAGAGAGTAAGTAGTAAGTAGTAATAAGTTAAGTAAGTAAGTAAGTAAGTAAGTTAAGTAATAAGTAAGTAATACGTAATAAGTAACGTAAGTAAGTA